TCATAAATTAACATGTTTTTAGAATGAGGATCATTTTTCAAAGAATCACTATCAGAAATAGAGGATGAAACCTCAGAACTAGAAGAGGATGAAACCTCAGAACAAGGAGGGGATGAAACCTCATGAACACTAGCAGAAGAAGATGAAACTTCATCAGGACTAGCAAGAGCGGGCGAAACCGCATTAAAATAGTGATCCTGCTCAGAAGGTGAATCACCTCTGGCAATAGGCTTTTTCAATGAAGAATTTGCCTCAATAGTTGACTGCTTGGCTCGAACAGAAGGCTGTTTCAATGAAGAATTTGCCTTTAAAATAGGATAAGGATCATCTTTAACAAGTGGGGAGTGACAATCATCATCAAACAAGGAGCTTAAAAACCCACTATCAAAGTCATCTCCCACAGACGAATCCCCGCTATTAGCTAACTTTTTAGCCATAGCCCTAGTAACAGCACAAGCAGGATATATATCAGAGTCCTCTTGGGCAGAATCTTCAATAGAACAAGGCTGATCAGAAACAATGGGGTCTAATGATACCTTACCCCCAGCTAAATCATTGCCTAAAAGCAATGCGACTCCTTCAACAGGAAGTTGTGGCCTAACACCAACAATAACTGGCCCTTTGACCAACTCTGATGTGATATGAATACGATGGAGGGGAACTTTAGTAAATCCTAATTCAATGCCTTGCATCAAAATATGGGTACCTGTGAATGACTCCTCAGATAAAGGAAGGACACCTTCTAATAACAAGGTCTGAGATGCACCCGTGTCTCTAAGAATCTTAACTGGCTTTGAATTGGTATCATCACTTGACAGTGACACAGATCCTTCCGACATGAAAGGCTTATAATCCTCCATAATATCACTATGAGTAGATTTCTCAGTATGCGTATATGAATCCCAAACAATGGGCTTTCTTGAAATGGGAACAGTAGCACAACCATTTGAATGAGCAGAACCAGACATCTCTCTTCTATTCTTAATCCTATAGCATTCAGAAATAAGATGACCAGGCTTTTTACAATAGTTACAGGTGACATTTGATTTTGGACCTGAAGAATTTGATTGATCTGATTTTGAGCTAGAACTCTGTGATGAATTAGACTGGTCTTTTGCTTTAACTGATGTATTTGATAATGAGGACTGATTTGATTTTGTATCATATGAAGGTTTGTTACCTTGATAACCTCTAAAGTTTGAGTTAGGATTACCTTTGATAAAACTACCCTTATGAGTAAGAGCATAATCATCAGACAGGGTGGCAGCTTGACTTAAAGTTTCTACCTTGTGTTCATCTAAGTAAGTTCTAATGTGATACTGAACACAGTTTTTAAATTGTTCTATTAGCATAAGCTCTCTGAGCTTTTTAAACTCTTCAGATACATCTTTAGAGACAAGCCACCTGTCAAAAAGCTGCTCTTGCTCTCGAGCAAACTCAACATGGGTTTGGTCACTCTGTTTGTGGGCATTTCTAAATTTCTGTCTGTAAGCTTCTGGCACTAGTTCATAAGCTTTAAGAATTGCATTTTTAATTAGGTCATAATCAGAGCATGCTTCTGCTGAGAGAGAGGCAAATATTTCACTTGCTTTACCAATGAATACACTCTGAAGCATAACTGGCCATGCAGATTTAGGCCAGTCTAGGCTCTGAGCGACTTTTTCAAAATGTGTAAAGTATTTATCAACATTTTTCTCTTGAAATTTAGGTACAAATTTGAGAAATTTTGAAGCGTCAAACCTATTTTCAAAATGTTGATGCATAGTAGCATGTTCATCAGTTTTGCTTTTAGCTTCTATTTCAAGCCGTTTTAATTCAATTTCTTTTTGAATTTCTTGTTCCTTTAATCTTATTTCTTTTTCACTTTGAATTTCTAATTCTTTTTCTCTCAATTCCCTTTCATTTTGTAATTTAAGTTCAAGCTCTCTCATTTGTAATTGTTGTTGAAATTCAATAGGATCAACATGCTGGGTTGGCTCCGTGGTAAGCTTTAATGCTTCTTCTGGTAATATTTCTTCCGCTACCAAATATGGCACCAGAATATTTTTTATTGCACCTTTTCGGTATGAAGTTTTTACTGCCAAACCAACATGTTTTGCTAGTGCCAGAAGTTCAGTTTTCTTTAAACTGTCAAATTCCTCCAAAGAGGGCGATTCTAAAAATGTCTCAACCTCAAAACTCATTTTCAGTTAATTGCTGTCTTCACAATTTATATATACAAATTTGGAATTTGGAATTTTAAGATTTATGAATTTTAGCTTGTTATAGTTGTATCCCGGACAAGCCCCCAATTTCTGTTACGTTCGAAAATAACAGAAAGTAAAATCAGCAATTAAAATATAACAATGTACAGTAATATATTTTTGAAAACTAAATGCGATGACAATAATATATAAAAGTCAATACTTATGATACGTAGATGTAGAGAAATGATACGCCTGTCTCTTGATGTCGATAAATATCCTTGAGAATGTTCCAGATCACGAAGCGTTTCAATAATCGTTAATAATGCTCCAATGTTTGTAATAATCCAATAATGTTTGTTGTAATCCTATAATGTTCGTATCCAATAATGTTTGATGATAATCCACAAATGTTTGATGATAATCCACAAATGTTTATGATAATCCACGAATGTATATGATAATCCACGAATGTATATGATAATCCGTATATATTGTGTGTTGTAATATTTGTCCATATAAAGTCCTCAGGTTGTGTGTTTTAGTGTTATAAATGTTCCCACAGTAGGTGTCTGTAATATTCAGCTAAGAAGATGTCCTTTGATCAACTTTGAAATTCTGCTTTATTTAGTTCCCTTGAGATGTCCAGTTATGATTACTTAATTATCTGCTACTGAGTCCACTTTGCAGTTTTATTTATAGTGTGAAAGAATCATCTAGAAAGAATCTTCTGGAACTGAGACTACTTGTTGAGTTTTGATTGGACCAAGGGAAAGATCAATACCCGGTGATTTCAGCGGGAAGTGGCGTTTCGTTCATTGGATGAGCTGCGCGCGCACGCATAAATGTGATTATCCAATATAATTAGGGGAGGGCTATTTGAAGTAGTTTTTGGTCTCAGGCGCGACCCAGGGCTGTTGTCTTAAGGACATTTCGTTGAAAATGAGCCATTCGGCTGATAATTGGTAAGAGTTTGCGATCTTATAATGTATAACTGTTACTCAGACACATATTTTGACACGATTCTGTTGGAAATAAGCTTTGAACCGAGAGATATTCACGATTGATATGCACATTTTTGATTGTGCCATTGCTTTTCTATTGCACAATCCATGTATTGATAGAAGAAACATTAATAATACAGATTGGTTTACCTTCAATACATGGCAGACACTACATATCGGTCTATTAATACCAGTTTGTGCCTTAAATAGTTTTATATTTCCATCCACGGCCTGGAGCCTGGGTGTGTTTGTCTCTTATGTGTATGCTTGTGCATGGACTTCTAATCACTAGCAGAATTTAACATGATGCAAACTCGACATTATAACTCATGCTGTAACATTTTGACTTCGCTGGAAAACAATAGGAATTCTTTTTTCTTGCCAATCAATCATGAATCACAATCAAAATTTCAGAATGATCAATCAGGCAATGGTCCAAATCAAGTTATAACATTATATGATATTCAGCAAGAAGTCCGGTAGAAATACAGAATATTTTAACATCAAAGCTGAAAGTTAAAAGCTAATCTGTCAATTTTCTGTCTGCAAAAGAGCGTCCCAAGAGCGTTTACATTTGACACAATAACAGACTGAGGCTTTGAAATCTAGGATTCCCCAGGAAAATATGACGTCATACTAATTAGCATAAGGATTTCCCTATTGGGGTGGGTCGAGCCTTGTTCGAAAACACAATCCATAAATACATGCTAATTTCTAAGGAGATAGGAAGTGTATAACGTGTTTATCGATTTTGTTTAAAGATTTAATCAATTATAAAATTGTTTAAGTGGATAAAGTGGTCACACTTGCTTCAATTCATAGCGAAATCGACGGATAGAAACTGACCGAATTCCCGATATCCTACCCCGTATTACTGTAGGCTATAAGCACAGTGACCTACAGAGGGCGCTATCACAAACAAGTACTGGACGAACCGATAAATTCCCGGGTATTGTAACGCCCTTGATTGGACATCTCCAGTCACATGATTAAGTCTTAATGAATGGTTATATTTTCTAGAACTCTCTGGATGGTCAAGAGTTAACGAGTCATTCAGTTCAGTTCTGTTTACAAGATACAGTGTATAATGTCATTGTGACCTTGACCCAAGATCTCTAATAAAGATCAGTTACAGTATATACATATAGATAAACTAAACTTAATGTGAATATGATAGAACATAATACTGTAACAACTTATTTTTACTATGAGTCAAAGAAACACTCTCACATAACGCTGTAGTTACAGGAAATATTGCTTCTATCATTTGACACTTTCTATTTCTAAAAATAATGGAAAAAAGAATTTGATGTTTTATTTCTTAACTAATTTGTGTCATACAGTTAATAATGTGTCATACAGCTAATAATGTGTCATACAGTTAATAATGTGTCATACAGCTAATGATGTGTCATACAGTTAATAATGTGTCATACAGTTAATAATGTGTCATACAGTAAATAATGTGTCATACAGTTAACTCCTGATGCACAGTTAGAACAGTATTATAACAATTCTTTTATCGAATCCGTTGGCATCTTTATTTTCAGAATGAAAAGGGAATTTTGAGCAAGGGGCAGTCAGCATTGGTTTAAAGTATATGGGATCTGTGCCAATTGTTACATATTTTTAGATGTTTTGTTAATGCCTTGTCTGATTTTTGTTGGCTTTTTTATTTTCAGAATGGAAGGTGAATTTATGAGCGAGGGGCAGTCAGCATTGGTTTAAAGTATGGGATCTGTGCCAATTGTTACATATTTTTAGATGTTTTGTTAATGCCTTGTCTGATTTTTGTTGGCTTTTTTATTTTCAGAATGAAAGGTGAATTTATGAGCGAGGATGGGTCAGGGGTGAACTATGATGCTTTAAGGGAGAGTGCCGTGTTTGCAGACTATAAGAAACAGGCGGATGAACTCTCCGCTATTGACCTTAGCACGTTAGACGAAGATGAGAAAAAGGCCTTCTTTATAAGTATCCTTTAGAAAATTTAGGGACAGTACACTTCTATGGTGGTACACTCTCCTTCATAAGTTTGGCAACTATCCCTTTTTGATAACTAAATCAAAACCTGATTATTCTTGGCAATTAAAAAATGTTAATCAAAGTCAAAAATTTCCAAGCTGTTGTAATTAAGGAAAAAATTTAAGATCCAGCCATTGACAGACTTTGATAAGCTATCCAGTGAATTATAAAAGTTTCCAGTTGCCAAACTTATGGAGGGGAGTGTATCTCTCTGTGTGTTATACACTTTAGTGTCATTAGTCATTCATTGCGTGAGAAAATATTTTGATAGAGAAATGTTTTTGAAAGATATCAGAGGAGCGATCAATAAAACCTAAGACAAAATAACCTCGGAGGATGAACATTATATTATGCTTAGTTTTGTTGAGACGGAAACATGATCTACGCCTCTCAGCTTTGTGATTGCGTTCTAATGTTCTTAAAACATCACCGAGACTTATGAGAATTGCTGTCAAATGAATGAACCAAAAGTAGACATTACAATTTCTTTATATTTTACAACCTTATTGAGCTTCACCAGGATCTTCTTTTCACAATATATGATTGCTATTAGCAGTTATTGCAAATATAAGTCTTGAGACTAAGCTTAAGATTTTCCAAGTCTAGTTGAAGTTACAAGCTAACAAAAATAATGTTTTGTTACAACAAACTTGTGGAGAACACTTATTCCATAAGTTAAAAGTTATGATGACTTGTCTATTTTACATTTTTGGACATTTATTGATTTGACTTTTATTGCTTGATGTGCAAAGTCAATTTACTTGTAAACCAATGAATTTGGACATAATATAAATGAAATACATCAGTACAAGGAATTGCAATAAAAGACTTTAGTCATTCCAGATCAAAACTCTGAGTCTTTATTCGTTTCTGCTAAATTGCTTCAAATTGTAAAATACATTATAAAATGAACTTCCTAAATAGACGACCCCTTGATATTCTTTATTCTCAAATATCATTTATAACAATCAATAAAACACAGCGTGACATTTGGAGAATAGAGTTTCTGCATTAATAACCAAATAAGTAGATAATATACGGTTATTTTACACGCAAGCCATAATTCTAACATTCTTGAGGAAATTGCATTGTTGTTAAGGAGGTTAAGTTAGCACTGAATTTGGATGGCGGAATCTTAAGAACTAATTTTCACCTTAAGTAGGCTTATTTTCTGGATTGATTGTGAAAATATGATATGTACATAGAAAACATCATTAAGGTCATCCCAATATAATACAATTTAGAAAGGGACAACAATTTTTGGCAGGCCCGCCAGACACACTTTTCCCAATAGGGGGATGCAGCTTCACAATTTTTACTGGAGGTAGTTGTATTCACTGATTTCATGTCCATTATGATTTGCCTAATTTACCTAAGGGTCTTAGTTTTATAACGTGGGGGGTCTTAGTTTTATAACAGGGTCTTAGTTTTATAACGGGGGGGGTCTTAGTTTTATAACAGGGTCTTAGTTTTATAACTGGTAACTGGTCAACTCAACCCCAAGTCAACTCAACCCAAGTCAACTCAACCCTTAGTCAAGTCGACCCCAAGTCAAGTCGACCCTTAGTCAAGTCGACCCCAAGTCATCTCGACCCTTAGTCAACTCGACCCCAAGTCATCTCAACCCTTGGTCATCTCAACCCTTAGTCAACTCGACCCCACCAAATAGATGTACAAATAGATGTACTATTTTTATGGTATGATATTGATGAATTTTGAAAGAATGAGGGACTAAAATACTAATTTTCCAAAATGAAATTATCAACTATTGAAGTTTGTGCTTAATGCATTTATAATTTTTATAAATATGACATTTATTTACCAAAATGATATTTGATTAATCTCAATAGGGCTATTCACGATGCTATACATATATTTCACCCCTTCATATTTGAGCTTGTTTTATCTCTCTGAAATAAAAAAAATTATCTATACACTTTATTGTTATACCGAAATTGTTGCAACAGTATTTTTGACAACAGGTAACTTATGCAACATGTGCATTGTGCCAACATCCATCCACTACTTTGTATTGAATGATTTTTTATTTTGATAATAATAATAAACAATAAACAATAAGATATAGTTCAAATCTTCCTTCTGATCTATAGGCGATAGAAATGTTTATTTTTTGAAGCTAGATTTTAAAACAAGGCTGAACAAAGAATGGGATTTATGATTTTACAATTTCCATTATCGTACCCATGTCATGTGTAATAAATAACAAGATTAGGATTTTATAACAATAAACAATATGATCCAGTTCAAATCTTCCTTCTGATCTACAGGCGATAGAAATGTTTATTTTTTGAAGTAAGATTTTAAAACAAGACTGAACAAACAATGGGATTTATGTTTTTCTATTTTCCATTATCTTACTCATATGTCAGGTGTCATAAACAATCAGATTGGGATTTTACGATCCAGTTCTAATCTTCGCTTTGATCTATAGGTGACAGAAATGTTTTTTTCTATTAAGTTTGATTTCAAACCAAACTGCACAAACAATGGGATTATATTGTATTTTAATCTAAATTAATCTAAATCGAAATTGTTGCAACAGTATTTTTGACAACAGGTAACTTATGCAACATGTGCATTGTGCCAACATCCATCCACTACTTTGTATTGAATGATTTTTTATTTTGATAATAATAATAAACAATAAACAATAAGATATAGTTCAAATCTTCCTTCTGATCTATAGGCGATAGAAATGTTTATTTTTGAAGCTAGATTTTAAAACAAGGCTGAACAAAGAATGGGATTTATGATTTTACAATTTACATAATCGTACCCATGTCATGTGTAATAAATAACAAGATTAGGATTTTATAACAATAAACAATATGATCCAGTTCAAATCTTCCTTCTGATCTACAGGCGATAGAAATGTTTATTTTTTGAAGTAAGATTTTAAAACAAGACTGAACAAACAATGGGATTTATGTTTTTCTATTTTCCATTATCTTACTCATATGTCAGGTGTCATAAACAATCAGATTGGGATTTTACGATCCAGTTCTAATCTTCGCTTTGATCTATAGGTGACAGAAATGTTTTTTTCTATTAAGTTTGATTTCAAACCAAACTGCACAAACAATGGGATTATATTGTATTTTAATCTACTTAAAACAAGTAAAATCATTTGGGTCGACTTGACTAAGGGTTGAGTTGACCAAGGGTTGAGATGACTTGGGGTCGAGTTGACTAAGGGTCAAGATGACTTGGGGTTGACTTGACTTAGGGTTGACTTGACTTGGGGTCAACTTGACTAAGGGTTGAGCTGACTTGGGTTGAGTTGACTTGGGGTTGAGTTGACCAGGAAGCTTATAACTTGGGGGGTCTTAGTTTTATAACAGGGTCTTAGTTTTATTACGTGGGGGGTCTTAGTTTTATAACAGGGTCTTAGTTTTATAACGTGGGGGGTCTTAGTTTTATAACAGGGTCTTAGTTTTATAATGTGGGGGGTCTTAGTTTTATAACAGGGTCTTAGTTTTATAACGTGGGGGGTCTTAGTTTTATAACAGGGTCTTAGTTTTATAACGTGGGCGTCTTAGTTTTATAACAGGGTCTTAGTTTTATAACGTGGGGGGTCTTAGTTTTATAACAGGGCCTTAGTTTTATTACGTGGGGGGTCTTAGTTTTATAACAGGGTCTTAGTTTTATAACGTGGGGGGTCTTAGTTTTATAACAGGGTCTTAGTTTTATTACGTGGGGGGTCTTAGTTTTATAACAGGGTCTTAGTTTTATAACGTGGGGGGTCTTAGTTTTATAACAGGGTCTTAGTTTTATAATGTGGGGGGTCTTAGTTTTATAACAGGGTCTTAGTTTTATAACGTGGGGGGTCTTAGTTTTATAACAGGGTCTTAGTTTTATAACGTGGGCGTCTTAGTTTTATAACAGGGTCTTAGTTTTATAACGTGGGGGGTCTTAGTTTTATAACAGGGCCTTAGTTTTATTACGTGGGGGGTCTTAGTTTTATAACAGGGTCTTAGTTTTATAACGTGGGGGGTCTTAGTTTTATAACAGGGTCTTAGTTTTATAACGTGGGGGGTCTTAGTTTTATAACAGGGTCTTAGTTTTATAACGTGGGGGGTCTTAGTTTTATAACAGGGTCTTAGTTTTATAACGTGGGGGGTCTTAGTTTTGTAGGTCTTAGGTCTTAGTTTTGTAGACACCCGTTGTTTTATAATGAACTAGAAAGTTCTGAAAATACAGATAAGAAATAATCAAAATTCTTTAAGGGTAAAATAACCTGTTCTATAATAAAGATATTTTTATCGCTGATTTGAACATATGGAGGTTATTTAACTTGACAGACTTGGAACATTACTTGTCCCACTGATGGTACTAATTTACGTGGTATTAGAATTACAGGGGAATTTGGCAGCTACTTAATTTGGCGGACTTTAATAATTTGGCGGACCTGCCAAATTAAAACAGCCACCAAATTAAGTGGAAGTACAGTACAGTTTACTATGATATGAAGCAACCTGATATGATACAATATGGTATAAGATAATAATAAGAGTCAACTAAAAAACCACAAAGTACAGGCCCATGAATCATTTTTGAAAGATTGATCCTGTGGCTTAATGTCAGAAAAAGGACCCTTTATTATTTGGGACTGTTTTCAAATAAAGCCCATTTTCTGAAAAAGCCTATTTCTTTAAAATCAGGCCCAGGAAGTCTTTTTTGGCCTGTATTAGGGAGGAGGCAGCATTATTCATTAAATATGAATCAATAGGGCTTTGTGTAAATTAATACCCTTTAAAAATCTTGACTATACCTGAATGTTATTTTCAAAGTAAAGTACTAGATGATCTGAAGATACTACTTTCAGTATATACTTAAATTAAACACATCAAGCATATTCACATTATGCATCTATTTACATATACTTGAAATGAGGTGAGCAAAAGTTAAGAACCACTTAAGTCAAAAAAGGTTTTATGTATCTTGCTATTTAATCTCACATGCCTTTAAGAGAAATACAAGGTTAAAGTATATATTTGACCATTGTATGACATGTTTTTTAAATTAAATACTTTTATGATATGAGGGAATACTTTGTCATAACCTCAATTTATATTTGATGCATCTACCAGTATTTCATTTAATTTTTCGAAAAAGTGATATTTGTGATTGTTTTTTGCTATAGAAATTTTTGTATTTTATGTAATATCAGGTTATGATATCATTTGAAAATTTTGATTTTGAAAAAGGGAAGGAAGCACACTCAGTTTAATTCAATGGTTACAGTATAAAGAAGAAAAATAATATTTCAGCCCTGTTTTGACTTCAGTACTCTTGGAACCTTTTTAAACCTTTTCAGCTAGCTGTATCAAAACCTTTTTTATTTGAAGCTAAATTTTCCATTAATTTCAAAATGTTAAAAAATAGATTAATATGGCATCCAAGAATAAAGAGTGAAAGATGTAGTACAAACCCTTACAAACTGTAATCCTTATTTCTTTTTCAAAAATATATATGAGCCCCATATTTAGCTGTGATACTACCAAGCATTCTCACAGTATTATTACAGCCCCATAGCCAGCTTTTCCAGGGGGAGGGGGCTTCTCAATAAAATGTAGTAGGGACTCCTTTGTTTGACAACTTTGGCCCAGATTATTTGAAAAGTGCTCAGAATGGTGAAAAACTGCATGATTTTTTAAAGAATCTCTGGCCAGGGGATCCCAAAGCTCCCCTTCTACGGGCCTGTGTGAAATAGTACCCTTGTTATTCATGCATTATTTTCTTAACTCATACCAGATATTTACAATGCATTAACGATACATGGTTTAATAGACTGCGACACAATGCCTTGTTCAGTATTAGATGTGCAACAGTTTTGGAAAAACACAGCTTATAACATTGGTGGTCATGTATTCAGTTTAGATGACATAGAGCATGGCATTTTAAGAGGTAAGAGAATTGTAGAATATTGAAAATACTATAGGAGGTCAAAATATCTTCTAAACTCTGAGTATACAGGGTGGCCCAAAAATGAGTGCACCTTTATATCCAGCTTTTTTTGTTATTTTTTTGTTATTTCTAGTATTGGTTGTGCATGACTACCTCTAGAGAGACAATCTCCACTTGTAGAATTATAAAGATAGCTTGAACATAAAGTGTACATTTATTAATTTTTGAGGCCACCCTGTAGTTTGATTGAACATAAAGGTGTGCATGTACTCATTTTTGGCCACCCTTTACTTTGATTGAAAATAAAGATGTACAATGTATTTACTCATTTTTGGCCACCCTTGAACCTAAACGTGTACTTGTACTCATTTTAGGCCACCCTTTAAACCTAAAGGCGTACTTGTACTCATTTTAGGCCACCCTTGAATCTAAAGGTGTACTTGTCCTCATTTTAGGCCACCCTTGAACCTAAAGGTGTACTTGTACTTATTTTAGGCCACCTTTGAACGTAAAGGTATACTTGTACTCATTTAGGCCACCCTTGAATCTAAAGGTGTACTTGTACTCATTTTAGGCCACCCTTGAACCTAAAGGTGTACTTGTACTCATTTTAGGCCACCTTTGAACGTAAAGGTGTACTTTTATTCATTTTAGGCCACCCTTCAACCTAAAGGTGTACTTGTAATCATTTTAGGCCACCCTTGAAGCTAAAGGTGTACTTGTACTCATCTTTGGCCACCCTTGAACCTAAAGGTGTACTTGTACTCATTTTAAGCCACCCTTGAACCTAAAGGTGTACTTGTACTCATTTTTGGCCACCCTTGAACCTTAAGGTGTACTTGTACTCATCTTTGGCCACCCTTGAACCTAAAGGTGTACTTGTACTCATTTTAAGCCACCCTTGAACCTAAAGGTGTACTTGTACTCATTTTAGGCCACCTTTGAACGTAAAGGTGTACTTTTATTCATTTTAGGCCACCCTTCAACCTAAAGGTGTACTTGTAATCATTTTAGGCCACCCTTGAACCTAAAGGTGTACTTGTACTCATTGTTGGCCACCCTTGAACCTAAAGGTGTTACTCATTTTAGGCCACCCTTGAACCTAAAGGTGTACTTGTACTCATTTTTGGCCACCCTTGAACCCAAAGGTGTACTTGTACTCATTTTTGGCCAACCTGTCCATTAATTGAACATCAGGGTGTACTTGACTTATTTTGGCCACCCTGTATATTGTAATATTTTTTCCAGGTAACAGACCCCACCCAGCTGCAGATAAACCATGTTTTGATGAGAAAGACCCAAGGAGAAAATTTATAGCAAAACAAGTAGATCCTAGAATACATTTTGCCCTAGTCTGTGGAGCCAAGGTATGGTTAATTTAATTTCTTAATCATTAATTTCTTGATCATGAAGATTCGACATATGTGTTCCCTAAAGGGAAATCTAATCTCTGGTGGTGTCAAAACATTCAATTCAATTTATCTATTATCAACATCTTCACAAATGTGATCTCTAAAACTATGTTCCTTTATTTTTTCAGTCTTGTCCATCTATTCAAATTTTCACTGGGGCCAACATTGACAGGGGCCTCACTGCTGCTTCTAAGTCATTCTGCGAACAAGAAATATCTGTACATATCAAGCTAAAAGAGCTCTCCCTGTCTAAGATATTCCAGTGGTATAGATGTGATTTTGGTGCTAATGAGGTTGAGGCAATCAAGTGAGTACTGATACAATGAATACAAAGATTGTGCTTCATGGGGCAGTATGTCCTACGGTCCCATGGAGTCCAACATAATGTCATGGAGTCTGATCGGGTAAAGCCCCATTAAGTCCCATGAGGTCTCACAATGATAAATGGAGATCCCACTGGCCCCATTGGCGTATGTAAGGTTTAGGTGCTCATATCCCATATACATAGATTGGGCTTAATGGGGCAAGTCCCACATAGTACCATGGAGTCTGATCGGGTAAAGCCCCATTAAGTCCCACAAAGTCTCAGGAGGTCTTGCACAATGTTAAAGCTATGGAGATCCCACTGACCCCATTGGTGTGTGTTCAGGGCTTAAGTGTAGATACCCATAATAGTATCAGATCGATCGAGCAACCTTTAAAAAACATTGCTCACATTTTAGAATGTATACAATAAAATCTGTTTAAAGTGGAACACCTCAAGAAGTGGAACACCTCTGTTGGTGGAACACATTTCAGAGTACTAAGACCAACTAACTTAATGTTAAATGAACCTCTATAAGTAGAACACCTCCCAACTGGAACATTTTAGAGCTACTATTACTATTTAAGATGTTCCACTTAGACATGTTTATTCTATTTTGGGCCATTGTCAGGGTTGCTTTATAAGAATCCCCAAGGTGCATACTTTTTGAGGAAGATTTTTACAATTATGTGTTTATCTCTAATTAATGGAATGAAAAGAATACATTTATGGTTGGTCAATCATACATGTTGCTTGAAATTTTTTCACCCTTATAACTCTGGTTCTGCCTTTAAAAATTTGACTAAATTAACTTTCTATTTCTTCAAGGTGGACACTACCGTATGTGTGTGAAGACAAGCAGTATGGAATAGAGACTTTACTTGATATGTTAGAAACAGAGGGCCAAGTTGACATTAGATACAAGGATTATGATTGGAGGTTGAACAAACAGTAGCGACATCTGTTGAGTAAAAAGGTGATAAGTGACACCTTTAGAAAAAGAACAAATATATATCTAAGTCATATAATATGTATTACCACACCAAATGTCAAAATTGTAGTCATTATTTATGTATGAGCATTAAATTGCATGATGAAAATCAGTCAGCTTCCTAGTAGCATAGATAGGTCTCTCTATCAACTTTGAAAAGGTACTATATTGTTTTCCTGTGCTGCTGGTTTTTGTGCTGGTTTTCGGCAGGTAAGGCGGCTGTCACAAAATTCCAGGGAAACTGCTTGACCTGTCCGGATGCTAGAACATGGTTTTAGGCATGTTTAGGCATGTTTTGAAAATTGATTGGCAGGCATTTTGCTCTTTTAAGTGCGATATTTATCACTGTGTGTCTTTTCCATATTTGGAAATATGGTATATAGAGCTCACCTTATTGGAAATATGGTATATAAAGCTCACCTTATTTTTAAAGAATGGTTGTAGTTTATGTAATGTTACATACAATCAAGCTTCAGTCATCTTTGTATAATCATTCCAAAAGAGTTTTTTATACATTAAAGATATTAAAATAAATATGGGTCATTTCTTGCTTTGTGGTACTTTCTGCTTGTCTTAGGGGCTGACAATTTGATCTCAGGGGCAGAATAAAGTATATACTGCAAAACCTGTGCATATTGAACACCCTTGGAGCTAACCTAAGTGTTCACTGTAGATCTATTTCCACTTCAGAGATTATTTGTACATAAGTTGATGAAGCATGTTCAAAGAATTTATGTTAATTTGTGGTAAATAAATAAATGCAATGAGCTCAAATGTCTCCAATCCAATCCAATTCAATCCAATCCAATCCAACCCATGACCTCATGGTTAATGCGACAATGCCTGACTAAGCTTGTATTCGTGAATGCAAATAGCGGCTACCAGCTACTGGGTTGATTGCAATTTGATGGCAAACTCATTTAAATATGAATGGTACCTGCCATGCATCCCATTAGTTGCCAGCTCTCGCCAAAGACCCAGTAGCTGAGATTAATGATGATTTAATCTGGTATTAAAGGCAGCAGCAACTAACACCGACTATCGAGGTGTTTGGAATTGTAACTAGCGGAACTTAACACCTGGCGCATTCGCATAGGCGCAAAACACATTTTAAGTTTGTTTGATTATGTGACAATGGCATAAAAAGTCACTTGATTACTGTTAGTCAACAAGCGGGTTGTTCGATATTGCAACTTCAAACTGACAGATTAATTTATGCAATCAGTAGGTTAATCCGGTAGCAACTATTTGCAATCGCATGCTTAATATTCGCGAATGCAACTGACCCTGTATTTGCGAATGGCTACCGGTGTAATCTAGTATTTTATGACCAACTCATTTAAATATGAATGGAATATTGAGAGGTACTATTAATATTTAAATGAGTTCCCAGTAAAATAGAAGGTTTATCCGGTAGCCAACAGGCGTTAGTTGCATTCCCGAATACAAGCTTAGTTGTTCAGTGCTCTAGACCACTTGACCAACTCAAGTGGTAGGAATTTACTTTGGAAAAATGTTCATTTCATTAACACAGGTTTTACTGTACAATTATACGTAATGTACCTCTGAGATCTCATAGTCTCGTCTAATAAGTTATATTTTAAGGAAATGTGATAGGTATATTATATTTTTAAATACAACAACTGTGATTACATTGGTTAATTCATTTACAGGGTGGTCCAAAAAGTGAACATCAGTTAATGCCCATTCAGTTTTTGGACCACCCTGTAATTGTGATTTTTTCTTTTTTTTATTCTATGAAACTTTATTGAATTAGTCAATGATTGCAAAATTGGCATTACAGGTTCACTTTCAACAACATTCATCTTAACTATCAACATTAATTTGTATAAGTGTTATGAAACAACTGTGCATGTGCGATCTTAGAGATTCCAAGATATATTTTTGGGGATATGACTTACATATACAGTGTGACTAACATTGAAAATGATGTTTTTTATTCAAGTGTCCTTAACATGACAGTAAGATTTTAAAGCCTTGTATGATACAGAAATATATTCCTTAAGTATGTTTTAAGAGCAGACTTGATGCAAGAACACATTTTCTACATTTTCTATTTTACAATTTGAAGAATTATTTGTCATTGTATTTAGCCAGATTGATTGCCAGTTCTGTATATATGATATTTAGTTAATGTATATTCAAATTGGTTTCTCACACCTTCCTATACATAAATGTGTTATGCAGGGTGTTCATAAAGTCATTTTACACTCTTCACAGACTCTTTAATTGTAAAGAAACTTTATGGTCACCCTGTAATTTTATGCTGCTGGTGATGGTACAGCTAGGAGGAGGGAAAACTCCATGATTCAATTGATGACATACGATTTCCTCCTTCGCGCACCTCCTTTTGTCAAAAACTTACCATCCATTTTGGTTTTCAAAGTTTTCAAATTGACCTAGTTTTAAACCAATCAACGATCGACTCGCTAAACCAATCAGCGACGATGTCATCTCAATACAGATTTACATTATAAGCATATGTCATCTTTGAACCCTGGGGTTTCTCCCCCTCTTGGTAGAGCTCAAGTCCATTTGGTTGCCAAAAAATCAGATTGTAGATAATCATTAAGTTAGATAACTAAAAATTAGATAAATTAGATAGATTGATTGGATAAGTAAATAATATATTGTGGTCTTTAAGACATTTTTTGACAAACGCCACCCTTGAGCAGGTATGTTTTAGCGCCATTTCTGGATAGCAAACTATAAAAGAGGAAATATTGAATTTGATTGAAAAGTGTCGATTTTTTACTATTCAAATCAAAGACAAATCAGTATTTTTATCTTATATAAGGGGAGGGGGTGCAAATTAAATTAACTTCACTTACTATGATAAAGTAAATCCGATGTTGATGGATGGCAGATTGGCATTTGCAAAAAATGGCTCAAATGATTTAAAAATGGTAGGGTTACAAGGAGAATTGACAGCCATTATTCAAATTTGATCTTCCTTTTGCCTATTCTATAACGGGACCAGGTTTTTTGTTGGAAGATCAGGACATTGCGAGTATTATTATATAATTATATTAATATTCAGTAGCAGTATAGTGCTAGGCTTCAACTAAATTGGTCCATGCCAGGCAATGGAGGATCAAGTTTGAATAATGGCCACCGATCATTCTTGGGTAGGCTTAGTAGATTGTAGGGAGTTTAAGCTTGCAATGTTTTTCACAACCTCAATGTGAATGGAAAATATTAAAGCGATGCATTTGTATGGGTGATTGGTCATACATATAGGTTATCTCTAATATTTAAACTGTATAGACAAACATATCATCAACAAGCTTTTATGCACTATAATTTTGCTCAAGATTAGCAATTTTATGATATTGCAATAGTTCATATGGTATTAATAAATGGACTTCCACATTTTCAGTTTCCACATGCCTGTATCATAGGTTTTTATCATTATATAATATGGTCATTTAATATATAACATCAGGCCCATAGCCAGGATTTGCTAAGGGGGGGGGGTCATTTTTTGGAAAAATCCAAGGGGGTTCACGTTTGACAACTTTGCCCCAAAAATAGCCAAAAGCACTAAAAAAGTGCCAGGTGGTTTAAAAACTGCATGATTTGAAATAGTTTTTGGCTGGCTCGAACCACCCAAACCCCCCTGGCTACGGGCCTGAACATGTAGGTGTAGTTAGATCCTTATTATATGAAGGACATATATAACGTTATAGAGTTGAAGCTTTAAGCAGTTAGCCTTACTGTATGTACGAGGCATCATTTTACTTTACTTTTCTGTAGAGTAGTGATTCGTGAAAAGGCACAACAAAGGAAGATCTCTTGTAAAAACAAGGTATTTGAGATAACATTTAGTTTACGTGTATGTCATTTTAGGTTGAACAAGCATTATTATGCATGTGCAGCTTATTTCTTACTCATATAAACACATACACTTATTGACCTCTTCAGAGGTTGACTGTTAAAATTGTATACCCACAATGTAAATCTAAACTGCAGCTTGAGGTTTACCTGATATAATATTAAGTCAGTTGAATGAAAAGATCATAAAAATCAGTTCTTCGTAATCTTTCTTGATTTGATTAATTCTTAACAGAGTGCAAATAGAGTTCTAACCTGAATGATGTGCAATATCATGATTTCATTATATTCAACTGGGTATAGAGCCATGTTGAACTTATTTTTGGGAAAAAGCATTGTTAGATTATAGTTTTAATATGTAAATATTGATTTGATTTGATTTATAGATTAACTTATTCCCAATAAAGGTTTTAGGATTTTTAACAAAAATCTGTCAATTGAATAGTTTTAAAAATCAAAAATATGCAAACTAAACCCAATTTACTGATAAGAGATCTTCTTCGAGAGTTTTATTTCTTAATTAAACACATCATCACCAAAAAGCCAATATAATATCTTACTTATGCTACGGATAAAGTACACGTTTTTTTTGTAGCAGCTTCATTATGATTTTGGCTCCGCTCCCGTCGATGTCCGTGATGATTGGAGTTTTGTTAGTAGCGCCACCATTGCTGAAACTTTAACGTTATTTTTTCTTATTGTAACTATTAGTGTTTTTGTTTTGTTGACTTAATTTTCGTATGAGCATAAGTATTTTTCTGTCATCGTCCACATCTGAAGCTACAGTACGGGTACTTTTTTCAGATTCAGAAACTGTTTTCCAACCTGCGGAACTATCGTCTGCCATACATTGTATGTATGAGTTTATTTCTTTAAATTAAATGTTTTATTTCTTACCCTCCAGACTTTCGAGGTTCTTTTCCAACTTTCAGAGCTAATACAAGTTTATCTATTGCTCTGTCCATAGCATCAATAGCCGTCTGGTTCACCTTAAATTGTTCTTTGTTACTTTTGCCTTTAGGTATTGGCGTTTCAACTCTCAATTTTTTCAACAGGGTATCATTTCCTACAGTTATATCCCTCTTGAAAGATTTCCCTTTGCTAGTCAAGCATCTGACCTATTTGGTCTGAAGATTCCTGCGTATCCTTATACATATATAAAATAATTCAGCTCTAATTTCAAATGCTCTAAATTTCAATTATTATATATTGGATTAAGATCGAAGTTGATTTTCAATATTTATAATTGTTAGCACAGGGTTATGCGTTTCAACTTTAAATTCTTTCAACAGGGTATCATTTCCTACAGTTATATCCCTCTTGAAAGGTTTCCCTTTGCTAGTCAAGCATCTGACCTATTTGGTCTGAAGATTCCTGGTCTAACGGCATTGTACATGACTTGAATTTTCAAAATGCAGGCTTCCCTTAAGAAAAAACGCTTGTTTTCTCCTCATGTGGTTAAAAAATGACCTTTTTTAACCACATTTTTACCACTCAAGATATGTTTAAGTGTGGTTGTGGTCACCTGTTTTGACACTCATAAAAGTGTGGCCCCCGCTGGTATTTCTTCCACACTTCCAAGAAACATCTCCCCATAGTTTCTCCTCATAATGAGAAAGTGTGGTTAAGCTGTTCCTGAAGCTATGGAGGAGCAGGACATTAACTTTAATATGATTTAAGGTTACCATATTGTTAATAGGGGTTAAAAGGGTTAATGTTTGTTAAATATATTTTTGGATTTACTGTACATGGCAGGGGCGTAGGAAGGTGTAAATTCAACACTACGCCAAAAAATCCCGCCAAAACTATGAAACAATTGTGTCAAATCTTCTATATCAAAACGCCTATTTTATGCTCGTTAAACGTCATTTTATGGCAATGGAATGCAATGTTTTCATAACCTTAATGTGAACGGAAATGTTTAAGCGATGCATTTGTATGGGCGATTGGTCATACGTATAGGTTGGCGTTTCAATTTTATATGCAAGCTTAAAATCCTTGATGCCCCTTTTAATGTGCTTAAAATGTTCGAATGATTTTTAACATTTAAAATCACCATGGAAAATCTCAAATCATTCTCACTTTTCTTATGTCTCGAACAATATAGACGATCAATTTCCAAATAACAATGAGAGATTTTTAATCATTTTCGAATAATTGAATTGAGATATATAGTATTGTCTGATTCCACCGTGTACCGTGCAATACGACACGTACAGATTAAAGAATCTAGCTTGAGCAATTGATTTAAAGAAACGCATTCGTGATCAATGAAACAATTAACCCTAATGTCTGCAACCTTTTTTATAACACTAATTCGCAAGACCAAATAAACTTCCCACCACAAAGGTCAAATCGAGGTCAACGTGACTTAGGGGTGCCAAAAATGTTATATTTCCCAAAACAATAATCTATTATCTTTCAAATGAAATAAAAATCTAGGTAATAGCTTTTCTAGAACTGAAATCGATGGAACGCGTATTTGAATAATCAACATTTTCAAGTTGTTTTTGTCTTTAACATTTTCATACTTCAAGAAGTACTACCAATAAGTTAATTGTTATTATAACAATTGGTGATTTAGTAAGAAAATAGATAATTGCTGACTTAACTATAATTTCTGTCTATGATTTTGCCTAGCAACGGAATATAATCGATATAGTGAAATTGAAAAATTGGGGGTAGGGGAGAATAAAAAATATACATCTCATTTGAAGAGGTTCATCATTATAATTAAAAGATACCACAGTTTGCATAAGCATTACAGAACATGCGCAAAAAATTGCAAAGGTATTCATCAAGTAGTTTTTGAAAAAAAAAGATTGAGAACGCGAATCACAAATATTTGACGAAATTGTATTTTAGTTTTAAAATCCATAAGATAGTCAACAGTGGCTCGATTATCATGAAATAAAGCATGTTACTTTGCATTTTCTACAGTATTAGAACTATAGAAACAATGTTACTTTCAATATTTT